TCTACAGCTATGATTGATTGCTATGAAGATGGAGATCTTGGAGGAGGTCCTCATGGGAATCCTACGAAACTCTACAACTTATTCCAGACCATGAAAGAACAAGCTGGAGCATGACACAATACAAAATGATCTCCACGATTGTGGACAATGTATCAGAGGCCAGCATGGAAGAAGCGACTGGAGTGGGACACAACTCAAAATGTCTTCATGATTGTGGACACATTTCAAAATGTCTCTGGAGTTGTGGAGACAATTCAGAGGTTAACATGGAAGAAGAGGCTGGTGTGGGACACGTTCCCAAGGTGTTTTAAGCCATTCAATTTATAGGGGATTGTTGAGAATTTGTCTAAAGGAGTTGCATATCAAACAAGCATACTCTTGATAACGTCACGAAGTAATGATGCATAAATCATGATTGTTTGCATATCTTTAGCTTTATGAAGCAGCACAGAATCAAAAGAAAGAGAAAAGCTAGTTAGGACTACCATCATAGAATGATAAGCTGTCAAAGACTGAAAATGCAGGTCGAATCCTAAAACTAATTTGGAGTTCTAATTCACATAAGAAAATTACCATTTGCTCGATGATTGGACCTGCATCGAGCACTTCACTAACAAAGTGACTTGTTGCACCGATCAACTTAACACCAGCCTCAAAAGCCTATCAAAAGTTAAAGAAATAAATGCTTTAACTTTGTAAATTATCAACATAAAATTCCAGAGACGAGTAGAAAATGACATCTAAAGGAAGGGGTCTGGAAATTGAACCTGCTTAGAAGGACTCCCACCTTTGAATGATGGCAAAAGGCCATGATGAATATTAATGATATCTTTCCCATAACTTTTTAAGAACTCAGCAGAGAATACCTGCAGAAATAAGTGCAACTTTAAATTACTCAAGCAACTTAAATAGTGAAGTGTAAGATTTATTAGTAGTTTATAATGCTGAAGATCATATTTCATGTAAGCTGTAAACAACCAGTTTAAATCATTTAATTTGAACCATCTTATATGAACAAGACAAAACAAGTTACGTGACGGACAACTGCTATTACGACCAGAAGAATAGTTGTCACAATCAAGAGAAAACACAAGAATTCAATGTCCATTGATTACCTGCATGTATCTTGCAAGTACCAAAAAATCAGTGTCATGAACTAATTCCAAGATCTCTACTTCTCTTTTCTTCCCCATAGTTGTTGGCAAATAATAGTATGGAATTCCATGCCTTTCAAGTAACCGAATCACATGAGCGTCTGGACCTCGATCATGGTTGCTGTTAAACAAAGAAATCATTTCACATGATAACTAATTCTTTTAATAGAAAATACATAGTATAGTGAAGAAATTGCTTATGCTTAACCTTATTACAGAGGTTATGTCAACAGGAAGCCTACCATTCTGCCACCTGTGCAATAAATCTACAAGACAGTGGTCCTGCACCAAGTTGATGATATTTTTAAAATTACACTTCAAAAAAGGTTTATATATTTCACCACAGTTTACATTATCAGCTGTTGACCAGTGTTGGAATCAGAACCTGCTTCGAAACAAGAACTGCAATCTTATATTTGGGATCTATTTCAGGAACACGGATGACAGACTTCATTGCATTGAACATCTTTGATAGCTTAAAGAAGTCCTCATCCATTTCTCCACGGGGCCATATAGCTGGGTCAAACGTAAACTCACTGAGATTGAAGCAAGAATTAGTTTGGAATTTTGGATTCTTCTTATGACTTACCGGGAGAAGGAAACAGTAAAAATAAAAGAGCCTCGAGTATAGATGACTAATCACAGAATAAAGGTATTTGGCAAAGTGTTGCTGCTAATTCTGAATCATATACCACATAGCACACCTTACAGAGGCACATAAGCACCATTGGTTCATTACATCTTGCAAAATGAACATTTGGCCTGTTTAACCACAATAGGAAATGAAGAAAAATACAGCTCATTTCAATATGCTTCATAAGATTTTAAATGACACATATTTAGCAAGATATTAGGTTCTTCCTAAATAAACAGATCAAATTCAAAAGATAACTGTTCAATCTTCACTATCGAGTGTCTTCCATGCTAATATAATGCAAGATGCAAATTACCTAGCATAAGGATAAGATACGACAAAGCCAATTTTTTTTGTAAACTAATGTGTATAGTCTCTAGATATGCAGGAATATAAAGCAGTGACATGCTTAAACATTCCACTTTTAGCGAGATTGCTTGACAATCATTGATGTATATTTTGGGTTAAGGTGAAGTACCCCTGCTTCTACATGATTTATATATATATATATATCGCTAGGATGGCAATCCTAGAAATTTTTCTGGTACTCAAAAGTAAAGACCTAATGTAACACAGAATGGATTGCTCAAAATTAGTACTCATTTGATTACATAGATAAATATAAATCTTTTTATGATTTGCTACTCTCCAAGCACACGAAGTTAATCGACTATCAAATCACACTCTACCGATGGAAGCTTGTAGCTGCAAGATAATATAATCCATCATCAGAATGGTCCTCTTAACATCCTTATCTGCTACAGGTACCTCTGTTACTACTTATGCTACTACGTACAAACCAAAAATTGATTCATCAACACTACTGTATTACTACTATAAAAAGTTCCTCTTGTTGATACAACAATCACAAGAAGAAACTGTAGAATATTCAATATCTTCTTCTCGTTGTTTTTGACGATTGAACATACTTAATATAACTCATCTTGATGAACCATAATTGCAAAATTAAACATGCCCAAGCATGACACTATGCAACTGACATAATTTTACTACTTCAGAATAAATTCTTCAATTAAGCAAAATTGTAGCTTGGCCACGAAATGAGAGAATATTACAACTCAAGAAAGTAAGAGAAAATACCTTCTTGAGTAAAAGACATTGTTGTCTTGTGGAACAAAAACATCAGCAGTGAGAATATTTCCGCCCCTTGATGCTATGCATTCAGATAATTTTGCAACAATTCCTACTTCATCCTATTAACAAAAACCAATTCAATTCTCGTCTCAGTCGCCCATCCGAAAGATCATTACTGGTAGTGCTGTGCATAAGAAGACTTACTGGACAACGAAAGACGTGAATGCCATGTACCAGGGAATTTGAGGACCCAAATGGGAATTTTACAGATTTCAGTGACCTTTTTGAATATTTACAAACTTGTGGACCAAAATTTGGGGATACCAATCTACACAGGAGGTTCATGTCCTTCCCTTACACTTTCCAAAATCTGTTGCTATGTATCAGTCAATTTATAGTCTTATCTGTTTCAGACATTTGCCCAACTTACAACTTCCAACCGTAGCCACAATCTCAGAATTAAGACCTTTGGACAATACTTGGTTGGTAAGTTGTCGAACGACGAGAATATTTCATGGGTTGGGACATCCCATCAATTATATTAAAATGATCGTTAAGTGAAATATATGAAATTTTCTGTCTGGAATTTAAATTTGAAATTTCATAACTTTTAACTTACTCATAATGGACCACTTTATTATATATATCATGTCATATCCAATTAAATAATAGCACGTATATAATGAAGGGTTTCCGAAAATCTAGTAACTTTTTGTGGAAATATTGTATTTGTACTTAAAAAAAAAACCATTAAAGAAATATAAAAGTACAACTTGAATATCATACATGATATACTAAGCTCATTTGAACATGGCTACATATACAGTCGAAGTTGAAGTGTTTGTCATTATATTATGGTGAACGGAAAAAAGGCCAATCCATCATGGGAAATTTTCAGTGATTTTGTCTTTAGATTTTCATATGTAGTTCCATGATGGGGATATTATTTCTTTGTTTAAGTAAAATTGATGTTGCCAAGATTCCTTTGAATGATTCTCGATTGCTTCGTTTGTGCACAATACTAATGTCTTGAGAAAATCCAGTGATTGTTTGCTGTGATTTATTCTTGGTTATGTTATTTGGGGTGTATCAAACCAACAACTACATGCCCGTAGATTCACTACAAGTTGAATCTGAGAAGAGTGGGATGTACGCAAACCTTACACCCCTTTTCTGTAAAAGAGTTCTCATCCTCCCTTTTCTGTACTTCTCTTTTCAGCTTCAATGCTTTTGGAGTTTCAGAGTTGAACCTAATGGACACAAGTGTTAAGGACAAGAAAGTTGAAAGTTAAATAAGGAAGATACCTCTTTCCAGCTCCTGTATGACACACTCTAGGGGGGAGAAATGGCTGCCTGCAAATTTTGGATGATTATATGCATGATCATGCCAGTTATAGTTAGGGGTAGCAAATGGACAGATTGAACTGAATCTAGACCGGTCAAATATGGATGAATAATCAAATGGGTCATCACCAAATCCAATCCAAACCAACCCATCATCAAAATCCGTCTTGCCCGAACTCATTAAAACTTGGACGGCTTATCTGAGTTTGGCTAGTTTTGTCATCCCTAGTTTTAGTACAGACAATTAAGTTATAACATATCTCGATGATGTTAAGTTAGAGTTGTCGATATCCTTGGCTAGAAATATTACAAAATGAAGCAGCTCGATCTAGGAAAAAAAGTTTTCATAATTTCTACTAGTAACAAGGTTAGCAACTATCATAAAACCTGAATACAAAGAACCCCATAAAGCAATTGAAATTTGAAATATACAACGAAGGATAGATCTAAACAAACAAAAAAATGCCTTCAAACAAAGGGTGATTTTCTATTACTGTTATGAGGTGTGACCAATCTTCCCTCTAACTCGGTGTAAAAAGATACTCGATACTGGTAATCCTTTGAAGATTTTCAAGCATTTTGTAAGTAACTTTATTTGGAAAAGAACCCTCAAAACTGCTTCAGGAAACAGCTCTTAAATGAAACTCTTTTCAAACACTTCCGTAAAAATCGTTAACCTTACTCCCCGAGGCCACGAGGGGGAGGGGGCAGTGTTTCCACAGGCATATGTCTGTGTCATCATATCCCAAAGTTATCAAATTGACTAGATATAGTTTCTGAGCAAAAGAGAACCTGAGTTCCCATTCATATCACCCTTAAAATGGAGTTACCTCATACTATTGTAACAGAATGAAGACCTTTTCAGACTAAGTAATCTACCTAATTGTAAAGCGTTTCTCTAGAAGGCTTTTCTATAATACAAACTTACCACCCTTAATTCTGTAATTGAAATATTGTAACTAGGGATCATGCCACCTGCCCAGGGCCTCTCCCATGTGGACGCGGTCTCCCTTTTTAATACAAAAACTGAATTCCGCTGATGTGCTTTTATCTGCAGAAGGTTGTAAGATCGGAGCTTGGAAGACTAGAACCACTGTTGAACCCATATTGAAAGCTGCTAGCTGCAGAGTTAGAAGGTCAAACTTCAGTATTTATTGAATAGAGAATTACTTGATTGAAAAAGCTAAGGAAAAAGGGGCTATCACGGCTCGCTGAGCATTAGAGCTGAAAATTAATTATCTATCCCTAATTAATCACCACATTGGTCAATTGCTTGTCAATTCTCACCGGATCAACAAACGAGAGAACCTAATTGTAAGATATATATTTTTTTTAACTTGGTAACTTTGTATTATATCACAAAAGTACATGGGTTGTACTCAAACCTCATATACAAATTCACTCCAGACTCCATTACTCTATTTCTATAATGAATCTAAATCATCAACTATAGAGGCAGTGTCTTTGAGTAAAATTGATTACACCAAAAACATAACAACAAAATGCAATTTAGTTTAACTTCCTGCACACTATTTTTTATGCCTTCAAAACATCTGGAATTTCTCTTTCCAGATTGCTCACCATATTGAAGCAGGGATAATTCTCCATCTAATTTTGTCTTTTGCAAGGACACTTGCTTCCTCCCAGCTATATAAGGCCTCTCAGTAAGATATTTTGGCATACTATTATTTTGACAATAAGGTATTAACATATAATTATACACAAAATACCCAAATATTCTCATATCCTCAATATCCATGTACAAAATAGCAAACTTATGAATGAGCACTTCAAAATCAATTTCTTGGCTAGTACCACAATGGTACTAGTTAGCAAGACCCTATAAGTCCCCCAGAGAAGTTCAATTCTCCTCATTTTCTAGTCAGTCAATTGTTCCTGTTTATATCACTTTCTGAAATTAACTACACATACACATGATATCTCAACCAAGAAAATGTTCGAAGAAGAAGAAATCGCAGTCAACTAGTTGTACGTTATATATATAAATTACAAAATCTTATTAAAAAGGAGGAAATAAAAGAAGAGGAGATCATTAATCTAGTTTGGTACTATCTGCATTACAAGCCTAATAGTCAAACGACAAATCCTTGCAACACCAGGTTTGTTCACGAGCAGTACAAACCATATGATATAAAAAGAAAGAACAGTTTTTTGCTGTTCATTGCAAAAAAAGGATTTATTTCTCATGCAAACATCATCAACTTGCCATTAATTTGATTTTATCATGATATTTTGCATACTCAAAAAATGCCACAAAATTGAAATGTAGCATGCATTTTTCTGTTCATAAACAACGTCAGACTTAAGGATCATACCTCATCTCCTTTCTTCAGCAAAACACCAGTGCTTCTAGGTTCGTATACCTGTTCTTCAGGAGGTTCTGGATGTAGCAGCTTCTTCCATGGTCTATTTGCTCGCAGAGTTGGTTCAATGAAAAGCTGAAACATCAGAAAACAGTACTGAGTCAACTAGAACCAAATGAAGGCAGAAGGCCATCGTGGGATCTGCAATGGGTATCTATCATGTTCTTCATCCATACTATTGGTGGATCCGTCTTCAATGAGATAATTGTGATTTCCTATGAGTTTTCCACACTCATTATTATCTCTTGGTTGATTAATTACATGTAACATGAGTCAGTTGTGCTTAGCTAGCCTGGTTACTACCGGGGTTTCTAATGGCAAGCTTGGTGACACTGCATGACCAAACAAAAGCTGATCCCTATCCTGTTGTTTTGGTCTTCCAAATCCATTTTTCATCTTTCTATTTCTGCATTACAATTAGCTCAGGAAATTTTGTCCCTGCTATTTTACATTTTAAATTTCATAGTCATGGTGATTGGTGCCTACAAAAAAGTCATAGCCATGACAATGCACTCAAATGTCACAACTTGCTTAGACAATTATTTAGGTCATTACTAACCCAGAGGGAATATTTTTTTTGTGAAACTACAAGGTAACCATAACATGTTCACTTAGGCACCTATCCAATTGTACATACAGTGCAAAAGCCTAGAGGACTGGTGACAAATTTTGTGCAACTAATAAACGAATAACCCCCCTTCTGAGTTTATCTTTACCCAAATTAAGTAGCTTGATAATGAAAAAGCTCCAGTGGTCAGTCTTCCTAAGAATATAGTCTAGAGAGAAAAAATGGATACTTGTATCCAAACAGATAGCTGGCACACTTCGTTATACAAAATTAGTGTATCACCACGGCACAAGTATTGTAACTAACCTCAATGGAACCAATATTTGTTGCACCTACAGCTGCCATTGCCATAAAACCTTCTTGCCATTTACCTTCAAGCACAACCTGATAAATGGTTAAAACAAACATTCCATGAGATGATACATTTATGCATTTGCTTCTGTTGCAAACATTAACAACAACAATAAGAACAACAACTACTACTACCATTACTTTATAACCTCTTATAGAGAAGCCACCATCTCAAAAAGATCAGGACAATCAGGGAATAGAACGCAATTTTAGCATAAGGTAACCAGAATTTACCCTTTCATTCTCCACATATAAATTTCTTATTGTCCTCGTAGCTCGTTCATTCATGGGAAAGAGACGACCTATCAAACAAATGAATCGAATAAATTAACTGCAGGTAGGAAATTGAATAGGAAGACTTTACATGCATCAAATTTTCTTTTTCAATGGGAGGAGATGGTGACTTTGGAAGTGGACTAGTGCTTTGATACCAAGTGAAAATGATCCCAAAGAAGTGTCTTGAAAGATCTAAAAAATTATATGCCAATCAGACATTCAGAATAACAAGTCACAAAATTCTGTAACAGGCAACTCAGTCGCACGAGTGACCTTAAGTATTGCAAATTGATAATATTTGATACATTTTCCAGTAGGGTAAAGTACCTGACTGTATACAACCACAAAGGTTATTATGGTAAAGTCCTCTATACTAGTTTTCAGACACATCATATCTTTTCATTATCATATCAAACACTGTTAGCAGATGCATGAAAACAGAGAGAATACTTGTTACGGACCCCTCATTTGTTGAAGCAGCAAATATTGATGTATCAACAAATTATACTCCCCAAAAGAGCCTTTCTGAGTGTATCCTTAGCATATCATTGTAATGTGACGTTTTGGACAGGGTGGGTAGAGGGGGCTAGGTGAAGTGATCAGGGATAGGTAAACAGAAAACAGCACAGACAATGAAATCCTACTATGATGGATGAACTCCTCTTAACCTATGGATGCAAATGCGAAGACTTACCAGAGAAATGTCGACGGCCAAGAACATTCCAATCAGCTGGTGAGTGTATGCGATGATAATCTCCAGGACTCAAGTAAATCACACAGTAAAAGAGACCTTTCATTGGGCTGCAATAAGTTAATTTTCAGTTTTAAAATTTAATTAGCACTCTCTCGTTTATCATCAAGCAATTACAATCCAACACGAACAAAAAGTAGAAAATCTAAAAGGAGAAAAGAATAAAGGTTCAGCTGATGACTAACTACTACATGTTATTAGGCACCTGCTAACTAGACATACTGGTTATAATTTGTCCAGTAGTATAGATGCACTTTTTTTTTTGTTGGATAAGTTTAGTACTATAGCTGCTCATTTCCATTACAAGATTATTACGATATTTGGATAAGTACGTTATCCAAGAACGGTTTAAGAATATAAATATACAGTTCTTAAAAAGTACTAGACAGAGTTAAGCTTTTGGTAGAAAATTAATATGGAAGAAGCATCCTAGAGCAGATCAACAAGTACCATGGCAGTTAAAGGTACTAAATAGCCTATTCTATCAACAAGTGGTATGCATCAAGAGATGATTAGTTACAGGAAACAGACATTTTGATAATACATTTGAAGCGTTTACATGTTATAGTACAATGTAGATATCAGCATATTACACGGTTAACATTCCTGTGGTTACCGTGCTGGTGCAGGATCTCGGACTTTAGGAGAAGCCAATGAAACTCTCCACCAGGACTTCTGATTCGTATCATCCATAGAACCTTCTTGCCCACCATCTTGATTTGTGTTGTCATCAACCACATTCATGGGAAGGAGGGAGCTGGCACCAAGAAGCGAAGAAACAGAATAAGAAAATCCTTTGACTTGCTCAATCATAGCCCCAACTTCCTTCAACTCTCCAAATTGTAGAACAGTTCCATCAACTGGACTAATCTACAACCACATACCAACTCAGAAAGATCAGCAAATTTGATGATCTGCAATATTTTGAAACATCAAGAGAATCAACAGATAACTAGGAAGCTGGTTACCAGTTACCAGACAACAGGGATCTGGATCAATAGGTCTGGTACCCTCTTTCAATCTTCTGACAAAGAACTCTCGTAAAGATGCATACTCTTCCAAAGGCAGTGCTACTTCTTCCAAGTCTGGATTCAAAAATCGAGTTCTATAAATATTGCCATCGCCAAAAGCTTAGTTTTATTTGCACTGTGTCATAGAAGAACTATAAATATCTAAAGCATCACTATGTAAGAAGAATGCTCAAAGCATTACGAAGTAGAAACTAGAAAGACTGTTTACTTGAATGAAATGCTCTAGCCCATCCTTTATACACAGATGGACGCAGCCACATCGGAAGTTCCTGGACGAACATAGCATGGAGTCAAGTTGATGAAGGACTTTGCCGAATCTTCTGTTATTTAAAATTGATAGACTTACCACACTGGTCAAGGTACCCCAGAATCTAGAGATGGAGCGTAGTGGAAGTAATCTCATGAAAGTAGCCTACAATTGAGAAGGCAAATTATTTCCAGTATGTTCAACATGGAAAACTACATAGAATAATGTGGTAAGCTAAAAGATCAATAGCATAGGAAAGAAGTGAATTCTTACCTTTACATCAGGCTGGAATTCTAAAATTCCTTTCTCTCTTGCGTCTTCAATCTGCGACTCAAAGAGAGTTAGGACGCTCCATGAGAGAGAACATATCTTAATTTGATGTCATTTTTTTTCATGTCATCTGATTTCACACAAACCGAAAGAGAGCCCCAATAGGCAATAGTTCACTTATTTCACTAGCTTTATGAGTTAGAAAAATACCTTCTGATCATCATAGAGACGTCGAGCATGGAGAAGACCAAGCATAACTATAGTTGCGACTGTTGCACCAGGCAACAAAAGAGTGTTACCTGCATAAACCAGAAGCCTCAAATTTCAGCTGCTGTGCCAAATGATAATATTGTGGCAGGTGAATAAGTAACACGATTAAGCATTATCAAGTAATATGGAGTATTATACATAGTTTTAAAAATGCAAGGAACCAAGAACCAAACTGAATTTTCAGCAGTTCACAATAGCTGTTTTGGGCATGTAAAAGATTATCATGAAAATCACCATCAGACACAAACCTTATATATAATGCCATTACTAAACAAAAAACTATAAAGAAGAAAGGAAAAGCACAGAAGGTGCAGCTCACTCCAGCTATCAGCTCCACTTTCACTAGAGTTAGTTTGGAATTTGCCACATCAGTCATTGTGCTCTATTTTGTTTATGTGCTAATTCATATACCAATATGGATAAGCCACAAGACAATATTTTATATCAATTTCACTCCAATCCACTGAGTTTATTTAACACAACACTTCACATTGGTAAAAGTTCTCCTGAATCCAAATAGAATAGTCACTCGACTGTTTTAGGAGTTTTGACCTTCCATCAGAATCTAGTTTCCAACCTTTGAATGTTAACTCTAACCAAGAAGTGTACTCAAATGATAAACATAATTCTACTAGTTGACACAACAATTTGAAACAAACCCGATTTCCAATAGAAATACTTATATATATTGTATCGCTAAATACAAGTTACAACGTATAATACATACAAGAAAGTAATAACACACTAATTACGGATAGATCAACATAGAAGAAGGTAACTAGAAGGGGATGGGATACTAGAACAGAGAAAGGGGATGAGAGACAACTGAAAGCCAAAGCTTCGATATAATTTGCATAACCGTTCTTTCTAATCCCTAGACCTTTTTAACAATAGCTAATTGGGCCTGGATCCCATATAAAACTCTCCAGCATATTACTCGGCCCAATAATTCCATATAAATCAGTCTCATTCAAAATTCCTAACACATAGGCCCGTACAAAGTCGACTTGATTCACAACACAATTCTTAGTAGTATAAGTTTAAAATGAAGTGCACAAGTATGGAACGGTAAGATATCTTCGATTAATCTATCACACTTGTTGCTCTTTTTTTTATGACCGTGTTGTCGGGCCAGCTTTCGCACACCTCGACTAATTCCATGTGATACCTGGCACCTCTCACCAGCAATGGGTACCGGGTAACTCTATCCACCAAGGTAGGACAAATGGGAAGACTCACCTAGTGTTTTTTGTCTCCGTTGAGTTTTGAACCTAAGACCTTAGGGTTATCAACCACTACATTGGCCACTAGGCCACACCCTTGGGTGTCCTGTTGTTCATTCTTAAACAACCACTTATTGTCCAAGCCATCTTTTCTTCATATAAGTAGAAGTTCTAATATAAACAAATAATGTGTATCCTCTATAACATTGTTGATCTTACAACTATTCTCTAAATTTTGCTTTTCACTTTGGTAGACACCTTGGTATAACATAGAATCTCATAGTACTCCTCCATCTCAACCATCGTATCTTAATTTTTTGTCTTACCGATTTATCTATCTTGCCATCCTCATGAACAGTAAGCCTTGAGGTTTGGCGAAAAACTTGGAGTCAAAAGGTTTCAAGTAGAGCAGGACCAAAAACTCAATACTTGTAGTGTAAGGTAATATGGAGATTGACGAGGTGTCACACATCATATTGGGGTGAGGTAGATTAAATAGAGGCTCGCATCTGGTGTTTGGTGTGACAAGAATGTACTACCTACACTTAAAGGTAAGTTCTATAGGGTAGTGGTTTGACCAACTATGTCACACATCTTATAGGGGCATCTGCACATCTCTTCTCCAGATGTTCAAACCATCTATTTAATCGGAAACAACCTCAGTATTGTTTGCGTACACTCTACCCTCCTCATATCCCACCTATGACATCACACTTGATTGTTGGTGTTGGTGGTATCTAAGCAAGCTTGGACACACCTTCACTATTCCACCAGATACAACTTAACTTTCAGAGATAAATCAGACAGAAATTTATCTATAGAATTATAACTTAGATATTCCGAATGAGAAGTATTATTAATTGTAACATAACAACTTGCACTACGTTCTCACCGTATCAAAATAATTCTGAACTAAAATGCAACTCAAACTGAAGTTCCATATACAATTTCTTTCAAGCAGAGAAGTAAAAAAACAGAGTTGTACCCTGAGAGCTGCTGTTACTACTACTTCCGCCACGATTAAGCGAAGCTCGAGCTTCAGTGGCTTGTACCTTACGAAGAAAGGTAGTGAATTGGAAACGCTGCGCATGTGGATGACTGAAGCGTCCATTGTAAGTGAAGCAAGGAATTCTCTGAGAAGCCCTAAATTTCATCTTCTTCTTTGTCAGTGTTTAAATCTCTAAATTTTGCACACTGAGTTTTGATTTGGTCACAAGAATTACAATTTATTAGGGCTGTTTTTGGCTGAAGGAATAGAAATTCACTGAGTTTGTCTATTTTTGACTGCTCTATAGGGTAAAAAAAACAATCTCGATAATCGATTTTTGGTTTCTTTCGTATTATCTTTTTTTTTTCTCAACTACTTGTCCACTTTTTCTTGTCCCTAATTACCTGTCCATTTTGACAAATCAAGAAAGGACAAATTCTTTTTACCTATTATACCCTCAATTAAATAATTAATTATTTTTAAAAATGTAGAACTTTTCATCTACTTCATAATTAATAGGGATAAAATGGTAAACTCACTATATCATTAATTATTTTCTTAATAGGTGTGTCAATTCAAAAGTGGACAAGTAATTAGAGACAGAGGGAGTATGTATTAGTCTGTAGAAGGAATTCAAATGATTGTCTAAAATAAAGTGATTTTTGTTACTCTCTTCGTTCTTTTTTAGTTGTCATGTATACTAAAGGTATATGTAGTTGTCAATTTAAACAATTTGAACTAATTATCTTTTTCCAACTTTGCCTTTAATATTAATTATCTAGAACATATATATCCATAAAGATTAAAGAATTAATAAGAAATATTTCGTCAAACAACACTTCTTATTAATTTTTTCTTAAGGGTTGTGTGATTGTGTCAAACCTTATCATAATAATTAAAAAGGGACGGAGGGAATATCATTTATTTTATGAACATTATATATAAAAAAGTATTTTCTTAGGTTAAATTGAAAACTGAATTGTAAGAATCAAAATTGATAATAAATATCTTATCAATTGATTATCAATCTAGTATATTCACAAACCAAAAATCAAACTAATAATACATAACTCTAAACTTGACGTAAATTATTAGTTTCATGTCTAAACTATTTATAGTGTTAAAAACACTTTTATTACTTGACTAACTAGACTTAAATACATTCATTTCTGCAACTTGAGTGAAATACACCCCTAAATCCCCGTCAAGTTTAGAGGTGTTTTCAACACTTCTCTCATCTCTTTTTATTAGGAGTCTCATGCTCTTACAAAGTTTGAAAGCATTTGTTATGTCAAGGATATATTTAAGTTTAATTAGTCAAGTAAAAAGTACTCCCTCTATCCATTTTTATTTATCAAATTTTGACTTTTTACTTATCATTTTTTGACAAATCAAGAAAAATAATATTTTTTACCTATTATAATAGCCTCAATTTATTTAGAGGGTTAATGTATTTGAAAAAGGTAAACTTCTTAAATGAAAAAATTATAAATGATAAACTTATTGTATCAGCTATTAAATGAACAAGTAAGTAAAGATAGAGGGAGTATCTTTATCAAGAACACAATTAATAATTTATATCAAATTTAAATGTATACTTATTCTAAGAAAGAATGGTGGGTCTTTAATTGCTTTGGAAAGGTAAAAAAAATGTCTTACACCACACATTAGTAAAAAAATTCAATGAAACACCTTTTGGTGTGGAATTCAATGCAGGCGCCAAAGTAGGAAGGAACGGCAGGAACCTCACAACTTCCTTATTCATTCATTCATTCCTGTTGGATTTTAAAAGTGTGAATACGAAAGTTTTAAAGGTGTGAATAAGAAATGAAGGGTTGTGACTCTCCTAAAGAGTTGTGACTATGTCGAAGGGTTGTGAACTTTATGAAAGGTTGTGTTCTTTCTAAAGGATTGTGACTGTTTGAAAGGTTATGCATTTTCCAAAGTGTTGTGACATTTCTGAAAGGTTGTCTTCTTTCCAAAGGATTGTGACCTTTACCCTTTGTTGGCTATAAATAGAGAGGTTTTCTCTCATTTTTCTGTATTGAATTCTTCCCTTCTTTTGCATACATTTCTTACAAAACAAAATCAATCGATTGTGTCTGTGTATGTGATTCGTTGTTGTCATTTTGAGTTCGTTGAAATTATCGAAGTTTGAGGTACAGCTACTTCTTTAATGGTTAATCCGTTTTATCTTGGGAGGAATTAATCTGCAACCTCGGGTACTTGAGGGGATTAAATTTCTTAAGGACACACAGTGGGTTCTGTGGACTCGGATAGTTCTTTGTGTTTTTCTTTTCATCTTTTATTATTTCTGGTTTGCTAATCTGAATATAGGAGATAACAAGCTTAAGAAATTTATTGATGGTATTTTCTGTGGTAAAGAAATTACTTCTATTTTCTGTGTTCTTTTTATTGGGGAAAGAACAAGATGAAAAAGAGAATTATTTTATCATATGATAAAAGAGATTTGGGATGAATTAGTACTACTTTAGTATATTCGAGTATATTTTTTGTAGTAAGTCCTTAGATGGGAAAAATTATTATTATTTTCTGCCCAAGTGCATTCAAGCATTGCACCCCTTCAGTTTTCTTTTCAATGAGAAAAGTTATTTTGTGCATAAAGGTTAAGGTGTGCACTTTAATTATTTTTCCTATATTCTTGGTTTTATATAACTATAAGAAAAAGTAAATAAACAGATGTTGTCTCCTAACAATATTTGAACATGAGTTTAGTTTCTCGTTAAAAACTGGAATATGATAGAAACTGAAAAAGAAGGAAAAAATTAGCAAAAAAAGTGGCTTGCATGGAATCATTGCTGACAAATAGAATGTGATTCAATGGGGGTAATAATCAGGTTTTATCTTTATTTCCCTTGATTATTATTTTTTTCTATCCTTTATAAGTTATGAGATTTATTTCATAAATGTTAGGATAGATGATCATTATGTGATGATCTCAGAATATATCTTTAGTAATATTAATATGTATTCTGTTTAGAGGAGAAAAAAAAAGAAAAACTTTTGTAGTTTTCTACTTCATGTGAAATTTGATTGTGTTTGACTTTTGGAAACTAAAATCTTCTAGATTTTTTTTTAGTCCTTTGATTTGAAGAACATAAGAACTTCACGAACAAATCAGATTGTACATTGGTTTGAAGAATATAGAAAATTCACCAATTTGTTAAATACTCTGTTTGAATGAATATTCTGACTTGAAGAGTACAAAATCTTCGTTAGGAAATTAAGGCTAAATGATTTGAAAAAGATAAAATCTTCATCGTTAGCTAGAAACATTGTTGTATTTGAGGTTTTTGATTGAAAATCAATTGGATAAAAAGATTGTCATGATTAGAAGTGGTAGATATGGAGAATATGAATCTTCTTTTGCAGAAATATATTTGGAAAATGGAATCATCCATCAAATTACTGCACATTCTCACCTCAATCTAATGAAATTGTTGACAGGAAAAAACCGAACTTTGAAGGAAATGTTGAATGTCCTATTTATAAGTTCAGGTTTACCACAAAATTTGTGGGGGGTGCTATCATTATAGCAAAAGAGAACAACAAAAAAAATAAATTGTCTGTTCAGAAAGAAAGAAACAAAAAGTTTTGTTTGTTGGTAAAGGGAGTTACAAATAATAAAAAAAAAACTTGTGTTTGTTAAGAAAGGGAGCAACAGAAAGTTGTGTTTGTTCAGTCTTTGTTGTATCCTGATAGAGAATTGTTTGTCGTCCCTTAAAGTTTATACAAGCAATAACTCTGGAAAGATAGTGATCAAACAATTTCCAATATAGTCTATTTCATATGAGAAATGGAAATGAGGGAACTATTCCCAAACGGGTCAAAATAGGGCCTAAGACTTTGGATTGTATGTTAATTGGATATGCTACAAATAGTAAAGCATGTCGATTTATGGTTCATAAGTCTGAATTGTCGGATAGTCAAGTGAAGGGTCTAAACGACCTTGGAAAGAACCAAAGGAGAATATACTTAATAAAGAGATTCGGAGGCGTAGTAAATGTCAATGGACAAATTACTTCCTACGAGTTTGATTTTGTAACATTTCTTCTTGAAAATGAGTCTCATATATTCTAAAAGTTATATCCTTTGTGGACTCATTCTCTTTGAGAAAAAGGTTATCAATAGTAAGATAGATTCAATTTTGAGCAACCATACTTGAGAGTTGATTGATCTTCCTCGAGGAAAAAACTTTTGGATTCAAAGTGGATCTACAAAAGGAAAAGAAAGTTGATGAAACTATTGACAAATACAAAGACAGACTTGTTGTCATAGGCTTTAGACAATAAGAAAGCCTTGTTTGACAGATAATAGCACTAACTAGGATTACATCAATTCAGATGTTAATTGCGCTAGTTGCGAAATATGGCCTTCAAATTCGTCAAAATGGATGTGAAAACATTTTTATTTTAGATGAAAAATTGGAGGAAGAAATTTACATAGAACAACCCAAGGGCTTTGTGGTTCTGGTAAAGAAAAGAAAGTCTGTAAACTTGTTAAGTCACTCTGTGGACTAAAAATAAGCGCCCAAATAATGACATGCGAAGTTTGACCAAACTATGTTGGCAAATGAATTTAAGATTAATGAATGTGATAAATGTTTTTACATTAAAGACACTCCAAATTACAAGGTTATTATTTGGTTTTATGTTGATGACATTGTGATCGTCAAAAGAGATATTTCTAACATAAATGCTACTAAGCATATGCTAGAAAGTAACTTCGATATGAAAGACATTGAAGTTACTGGTGTGATTGAAAATGTACTTGAGAAGTTCAAGCATTTGGATTTCAATATTGTCAAGACTCCAATAAATGTGAGATTTGTACTTCAAAAGAATGAAGGCAAAAGTGACTCACAATTGGATTGTGCTAGAGTATTGAGAAGTATGATATATATCATGAAGTGTACGCGATCAGATATAGCATATGCTATTAATAAACTAAGTCGGTTCATGAGTAATCTCAATCAAACTCATTGGATGATAATGAAAAGAGTTTTGGAGTATTTAAAACATACTTAAAAAACTATTGTTTTGCATTATAGCTAATATTCAACAGTATTGAAAGAATATAGTGATGCAAATTGAATCACTAGGTCAAATGAAGTAAAATCCACGAGTGTATATGTATTTACTATTGGTGGAGGAGCAGTCTCTTGGAAATCTTCCAAACAGAGATATATCGCTCGCTCTACTATGAAATCTGAGTTTATCACTCTAGATAAGGCCGGTAAAGAAGTTTAATGACTCCAAAATTTCTTGAAAGATTTTTGGCCCAAACCTTTTAGCTCCAGTATGCATACACAGTGAGAGTTAATTTGCAATAGGTAGGGCATGGAGCATGATGTATAACGGAAAGTCTCGTCATATATGACATAGACATAATATCGTTAGAGAACTACTCTCTAGTGGAATTATCATAATTGACTATGTAAAGTCAAAGGATAATGTGTCGGATCCACTTATAAAAGGCCTAACTAGCTAGAGAGGGAGTTGATAGATTATCAAAGGGAAAGGGACTATGGCCGAGAACAAGTCATTGTGGCGGTAACTCTACCTAGAAGACTGGAGATCCCAAGATCTAGGTTTAAGGAGATCAAACAAAGTCATTGATGACGGTTTAACATTGTCAAAATATTTTTTATGGTCCATTCTCATGATAAGACAATGTTCAGTAACAAGGATAAAGATATTAGGACTTTTTAATGATTTATAAGTTTGATACAGGGTATATCAAATGGTGTATTTACGGGATAACACATTTAGAAATCACCTATGTAAGTGTGAAGTGTAAGCCACTTCAAGGAGAATTCGGTAAGGCCAGTTCTCTACGTACATATAAATCGAGACGTGTTCATGGCTGAAACGAACAAAACAATGAGAACCAAAAACAATTCAAGGGTTGATTGTATGACTTATGTTGTCTAGGTATACACCAAAGCTCGACGGTTCAAAGATATCAAATCTACCGATTGACCGAGTATAACCGATATATGTTCACTACGGAAAGTTCAAAGGGAAACCCACTTATCCAGAGGCAATCAATCCTTAATTACGAATCACACAGTTTTTCATGCATATGTTTTAACAATAGTCATTCCCTATTCATGTGGGGGATTGTTGGGTTTTAAAGGTGTGAATAGGAAGGTTTTAAAGGTGTGAATAGGAAATGAAGGGTTGTGACTCTCCTGAAGAGTTGTGACTATGCCGAAGGGTTGTGAACTTTATGAAAGGTTGTGTCCTTTCTAAAGGACTGTGACCGTTTGAAAGGTTATGCCTTTTCCAAAGTGTTGTGACCTTTTTGAAAGGTTGTCTTTTTTTTGAAAGGTTGTCTTCTTTCCAAAGGATTGTAACCTTTACCCTTTGTTGACTATAAATAGAGAGATTTTCTCTCATTTTTCTGTATTGAATTCTTCCCTTCTTTTGCATACATTTCTTACAAAACAAAATTGATCGATCGATCGTGTCTGTGTGTGTGATCCGTTGCTGTCATTTTGAATTTGTTGAAATTATCAAAGTTTGAGGTACCCCTACTTCTTTAATGGTTAATCCGTTTTATCTTGGGAGAAATTAATCTGCAACATCGGGTACTTGAGGGGATTAAATTTCTTAAGGACACACAGTGGGTTCTGTGGACTCGGATAGTTTTTTGTGTTTTTTTTTTCATCTTTTATTATTTCTGATTTGCTAATCTGAATACAGGAGATTACAATTCCCACTAGTGATTCCATATTGGATCTAATCCAACTAGTGGACACCAGAGATATCAAGTGTTAACTTCAAAATTAGCACAAGCTATTGGGTAGAAAAAAATGCAGTTCTTCAGTGGACTCACAATTAGGAAGAAACAATCATCATCCGCAGCCTCTGCAGAAAGGCGGAAGAAAGAACGGAATTATTATTTACAGAACGGAATTGCAGTGCTAGAGGAGTTCCTTGCTTTATGCGACGGAAATTGCAGAATTCCTATCCGGTACTTCACTGCCACTGAGATCGAGAATGCAATTAAGCTCTCTGAAAACAAAATGGAATAGTACTCTGCAGTGGGTATAGTTACGGGCTCCTTGGACAACCGCCTTGTTTTAGTTAGGTTCAATAGATCATGTCAACTGAATATCTACCGAGATATAGCAATTACTGCTCAGATGAGTCATCTCAAGAATGTGTTGAGACTTGTAGGTTGTTGTCTAGAATTTGAAGAACCAGTTATGGTGTATGAATATGTTGAGTCTATAACTCTCAGTGATCTACTTTACAAAAAGGGTGATCATAAGACTAGAGAATCATTATCTTGGGGAAAGAGATTACGAATTGCCAATGAGGTCGCCTCAGCAATCGTTTTTCTCCATACAGGATTTACTACGCCCATCATCCACAGAGATATAAAGCCTCACAAAGTGATAATAGATCAGAACAGCGGTGTTGCCAAAATAGTGGACTTCTCACTGTCCATATCATTACCTCCAGGGGAATTGGAGGTACAAGATGGTATACTGTGCGGAACATTTTGGTATTTAGATCCAGAATGTGCCTCCCTGGGTATTGTTACTCAAAAAACTGATGTCTATAGCTTTGGGGTTCTTCTCTTACAGCTATTAACTGGAAATAAATCTCTTGATAGTATGCAATCCAATATTGAAGAGGGTAATGCTATGGATAGAGTGAATTCTACAATTTTTAAAGATCCAAATCTACCAACCATGGTTGAGCTTTACATTAAAGAGAGAGATGTAATAGATATAGCAGATCCTACCTTATTGGAACGGCACGGTGTTGAGATTCGACAACAATTGGAAGACTACTTGGATCTTGTTAAGAGATGCATATCATCAAAGGGTGAAGATAGACCATACATGATTCATGTTGCAAGGGAATTACACCGAATTGAGAACTGCTTTCGTGCCCTCACTATTGGTCAAATTTAAATGTTTGTTTTAATACATGAGGTATCTGTACCGTAATATTTATGTTGAACAACAAATGATCTGCAGACAATTAGTTTTTAGTGCCTGGAAAAAGTTTCTATTTGGATTGCATCTAACCATGTTAGTTATGCATTTGACATCTAATAACTTTTATTAGTTTCAAGAATATGCAACTGCTTATAATTAATTACCTTTTCCCTTGTTAACCAAACATTGGATTGTAACAGAGAAATTCTGTAATTTTAACATATTGATAGGTCTTGTATAGTAAAACTGGAGAATTTATCATGAGCTAGGCCAGGTTCACATAGTTTTTTGTTTTTGCTAAGATGCTCACGTAGTTATAGTTGTGAGTTTGCAATTACTACTCAGAAGCCACAACTCTAATCCCAGCGTTTATGCAGCTACAATATAGATGGTGATTACTACTGGGAAGGCACATAATCAAATACTTCCCCTGTCCCAATTTATGTGACTTATTTTATTTTTTAGTATGTCCCAAAAAAAATGACACATTTCTATATTAAGTAATAATTTAACTATAAAATATCTATTTTACCCTTAATGAAATGATTTACAGCCACACAAATTTTTATCATTCATTTTGAACCACAAGTTTTAAAAGTCTTCCTTTCTTTCTTAAACTCCGTACCGAGTCAAACTACGTCACATAAAATGGGACGGAGGAAGTAGCATCTTTTAGGCATCACAAAATTTAACAGAAAAGCAGTGTGAATTTCTCTTGATTCCTAGGAGAAACTACTTTGTTATCACAAGCATACAATCTCAAGTTAGTTCATAGCAACAACGATTGTCGATTCACCATAGTAACCCATCATCAGCTGGAAAAGCAGAAGTACTTTTTATAAGAAGATGGGGAAAAAATGGAATTCAAGTTAACGTAAAAGACTACGTCAAGGGTAATATATGGGCACATTATATAGCACAATCTCTAGCATCTATACAAACTACAAAGCACCCTTGACACCAAGAGAAGTACATCTTTTAAGTTAAAACTCATAAAGAGAATGATAATCTTGGGAAAAAATTAATTAGTACTTACATCTTTTGGTTTTAAAAAATCCATTCATTTAAGTTAAAACTAGTTGCAAGTCAAACAGACCTACCTAACTACACTTAACTGAGTCAACTCTTTGACATAAATCTGGAAGACCCTTGTATTTGACTGTGTTCGTAAGTTGGACCCGTATACTTATGACTTTACCAAATGGACTCTTAGACCATCTCCAACCCAACACCAAATCCTAAATTTGATGTTTTGAGCTCCAATCCACACCAATTTTTACACCAAATTTGATGTGTGAATAGTGTTACACCAAATTTATTCATCACACCAATTCACTTTTTGAATATTTAAATATTATTTCATTATACAAACTTTTAATTAAACATTATATAAATTGTATGTTTTAATTAAATCTCTTGTATATTTAATTATTTTTTATGTAATATTTTTATAATATTAATTTTAGATATAAAATTTAGCTATTTTATAAATTAATTTTTCTATATATGACTTTTTTAAAAATTAAATTTATGTTAATTCTACTATAAATTATAATTGGATATAACTACAATTAACCTTCACAAAAATTTAAAATGCAAACATATAAATTTTTAAACAAATAATACAATGTACTTTAAAATAACCAAAAATAATAAACATTCAACGAAGTAGTAATTGACATTCACCGTGAATTATATATGGTGAATGTTTTAGAAAGAATTTGTTTTATGAAATAAGAAATAATAATATAATAATGAAGAGAAAGCAAAATATTCCTTTTTAGTGTAAAATTTGGTGCAGTGAGTTAGAGTTGATTACACCAAAAATAGTGCTGACACCAAATTTGGTGCAGTAAAATTTGGTGTTTGGGTTGGAGATGCCCTTATATTCATTCAAACACAATATTTTAAACTCATTTCTCATATGATATATGTACGTGTGATACACTCATTTTACAAATGAAATACCACGTCATTTTTTAATGACACATCATTATTATTATTATTTTTTCAATGACACATCAAAGATTAAATTTTAAAAATAAATAATATTAAAAAATAAAAACTGCAATTTTATCTCTCTTTCCCCCTTTCTACTTTATCTTCTTAATTGCCACCGACCCCTACGCCTCACCCCAAAAATTAAAAAATCATCATTTTCATCTTTCTTCACAGTTCATACTCAAAAGTTTTCTCAATCATAAAATATGATAGATTGTAATTAGCTCTTGCACATGCTTTAGGTTCTATTTATTTTGATTTGATAAAAGAAATCAAGAAAACTTTAAGTTGGGAAAAATATATTTATGAGTAAATTCAAGCAATAGATCTTAAAATTATGAAAATGGTGAATGATATGTTTTCTTGCAAAAGCTATTTTTAGTTTTATATTTGATGATTATGGTGATGGTGTACGTCAAATAATAAGAAGAATAGAAAAGGGGTAGGGGCGGGGGTGGGGGGCCTGGGGCGGAAGAAGAAGAGAATTGGGGTGGGGATGCAGAAGAAGAGAAGGGGTGAGGGTGGGTTGAAGAGAAAGGTTTTGAGATTTCTTTTTTATTTTTTTTTAAAAAATTATTATTATTATTTTGATAATTTTTAAATAAATATCATTCACTTGCTTTAAAACGCGTGTGGTCACACATTTGTCCAATTCAATTATTTTAATGTCACATAAGTTCGATCAATGATTCGAGGGGTTTAAAAAATAAAATTTCATCGAGTTTAAGGGTTTATTTGGCAAAATAATAAGTAGAAGGGTTTAACTGACAAACAAAGCTAAGTACAGAGACTTCTCATGTCATTCCGCTTTTAAAAAATAATTAAAATAAGTCAATTCAATGAATAGTGAAAAGATGAGGTAGAGTTTTGGCACAGAAAGAATGGTAAGTCTTAATTGGAAAGTGGCCTACGTCATTCCATTTGTCAATCAAAGAAATGTCTTACACCACATATATATTTTCTTCTTTTATTTTTACTTTTTACTTATTTTTGAAATAAATTTTTGTTTTTATTTATCACTTTTGGCATATCAAGAAAAGATAATTATAATTTTTCATATTTTATCCTCAACATTAAATACTCTTTCTCTAAATCATTTTGTCAAACTTAATACTCTACATTATTTAATATGATAGTTATATAAATAATTAGTTTTAAATTAATATGTCAAGTCAAACTGCACAAATAAAAGTGAACAAAGAAATAGTAAAAGAATTCAATGAAACACCAGTTGCTTGTTAAGTATTTTTTTTGTGGAATTCAATGCACGCGCCTAAAGTACGAATGAGCAGAAGGAGCCAGGAACCTCACAACTTCCTACCTCTTCATTCCCACTAGTGGACACAGTGGACATTACTAGAGATATCAAGTGTGTTACAGAGAATAGAAACTTCAAAATTAGCGCAAGCTATTGGGTAGAAAAAAAAATGCAGTTCTTCAGGAGACTCACAATTAGGAAGAAACAATCCTCATCCGAAGAATGGCGGAAGAAGGAGCATGATTATTATTTACAGAATGGAAGTGCAGTGCTAGAGGAGCTTCTTGCTTTATGCAACGGAAATTGCCGAATTCCCATCCGTTACTTCACTGCCACTGAGATCCACAATGCAATTAGGCACTCTAAAAACAAATTGGAGATTTTCGATGGACGTATGGTTGCAGGATCGATGGACAAGCGCCTCGTTTTCGTTAGGTTTTTCCCTCATTATTTTAGGAATTTCTTCAATATTTTTCGAGATATAGCAATTACTGCTCAAATGAGCCATCTCAAGAATGTGCTGAGACTTGTCGGTTGCTCTGTCGAATTGGAAAAACCAGTTATGGTATATGAATATGTTGAGGCTATAAGTCTTCACACTTTACTTTTCGAAAAGGGCAATCATGATGATCAAACCAGAAAATCATTATTTTCTTGGGGAAATAGATTACGAATTGCCAATCAGGTCGCTTCTGCAATCGTCTTTCTCCATACAGAATTTACAACGCCTATCATCTACAAAGATCTGAAGCCATCGAATGTGATTATAGATCAGAATAGTGGTGTTGCCAAACTACTAAACTTCTCATTATCCGTATCATTGCCTCCAGGAGAATTGCAAGTTGTAAAAGATGTTACTTGCGGAACATATGGATATTTAGCTCCAGAATATGCGGTCTCAGGTATTGTTACTCAAAATACAGACGTCTATAGCTTCGGAGTTGTTCTACTTCAGCTATTAACTGGGAAGAATATGGGCACTCTAAATATAAAGGATCGCAACTATATAATGTATGATGTAGATTCAGATCTTGAGACGATAGAAATTGAAAAGATATATGTAATGGACATAGCAGATCCAGCCATTTTGGAAGAGCATGGGATTGAAATTCAACAACAATTGGAAGATTGCTGGGATCTTGTTAAGAAATGCACAGAGTCAAAAGGAGAAGAGAGACCATACATGATTGAAGTTGCAAAGGAATTACGCCGAATTCACAACTGTTTTCGTGCCTTCACTCTTGGCCAGAATTAGCTTTACATAAGATGGCAAGTGATCTAGAAATAATACCGATTGTATGTGCACTCTAAAGTTAAAGTGTTTTTTTTTTTTAAATAATGAAATTGTCAATTTTGCATTTTTACTTCATGCGGTCTATTTTTAACAGGCTCTTGTATTAAAAAGCTAAAATTCCTTTTTATACGTTCAAGTGAGATTAATTATTTTTGTCTGATATTATTCTATCATTAAGTAACCATTCATAGTAATGATAGTCAAATTTATATTTTCAAATCATAATTAATGAGAATAATTTAATAAAACAAATCCCTTATAAGTGCCAAATCAATAATACTTTATCATATATTCATTGAGAGATAGTCTTGGCAAGAGCAAAATGCATCATTTGATGAGGAGACTAGCTACTCACCAGAAAAAAACGTGTTTCCTCTGCTTCTGAAGAAATGCGGGCAAAGAGGAGGATTATTATTTTTTTAGAAAAATAGAAGTAAAATTCGGGGTGAATTATTAGTTTCATCTTTGAACTATTGACAGTCTTAAAAATACTATTTTAATTGATTAACTGAACTTATATGAACCATGGTCTTGCAACATAAGTGAAATACACTCCCTAAATTCTCTCTAAGTTTAGAGGTGTTTTCGATATTTTTCTTGGCCTTTTATTATGAGTTTCATGTTTCTACAAGACCACTTGTTATGTCATGTGGTAGATCAGGGGTGTCAATGTTGTATCTAAATTTAGTTAGTCAAATAGAGGGATGTTTTTAAGACTATCAATGATTCGGAAACAAAACTAATAATTTGTGTCAAGTTCAAGTGTTTTTTCAATACTTCTCTTTTAAAAACGAAAAAGGAAAAAAAAATTCTTCAACCCAATTTTTAGGCTCAATTATACCCCCTAAAACTAATGCACTAAAACTTTTTTGTGCGCAACTAAAACTAATATACCAACCATGGATAAGTTTGGGTCTTTATAGCTTTTATCCAAGCTTTTCACGTGTATTCCTCACAAACAAGATTATTCTAAAATCTAAAGCAGTCGTTCATCTCTTTTGGACTATTTTTTTTAGTTCAAATTTTCACTTTTTATTGATATAAATGAAAACTTGAACAAAAAAAAAAATAGTCCGAAAAAAGATGAACGACCTTTTTCGGACTAGAGTTAAGCGTGATGTGCAAAATAACTAACCTTTTAAACTTATATTCATTTCAAATTAAAATAAATGAATTTTTAACATCTGACACACTTTAAAAAAAAAAGTGAGTTAATAATATTAATTAAAATATAATTTATCAATATTCTGCTTTTTTCCAAATCCTTCTTAAAGCTAGAGATGGTTGAAAAAACTCATAAAGAGAATGGTAATCTTGGAAAAAAAATAAGTAGTACATCTTTTTGCATTAAAAAATCCATTAATTTAGGACTATAGAAAAAGTATAGAAATTCATTTGTTTAAAAAAAAATCATTTAGGACTGTCAGAAATCCATTTATTTTGAACCGGAGGGAGTAGTACACAGGTTTAACCACCCGAAGTTACGTTAGGGCATCTCCAACCTTGTTTACTATTTTACTCTTTAAATATAAATTTTTCTATTTTTTTAGATAATCAACTTCAACCCAATTCTCTATTTTACTTTTTAAAAAATAATCGTCTTCTCTCTTCTCTATATTATATTATTATTTTTATTTCATTCTTATTTTCTTATTTCATAATATAAATCCCTTCTTCTTTTTTTCAAATAATCACTTTATATAATTTTCATGTGATATAAAATTTTATTTTTTCAAATTTTATTTTTAATATAAAATTATATTTTATTCTAAATTTTTAAATAACATAAATTGGAAGCAAATATTATATAATAAACAAATTAATGGACAATTCAAATAAATGTGAAATCATTAATGAAATATAACTACATAAACATTACATAAATACTCAACTTTGAAGATTATTACGTTGCTCCCATAAATGCTCTATTAACACATTACAGAGTTAAAAATGAGCATTTTTGTCTTTTTATGTCTAGCTAAAAATTGTTCAAATCGAAGATTTTCATCTACCACCATTGTTGTTGTTGCAGTTGGAGCCTCTACGACACCTTGAATTGGTGCATTAAGATCATGTTCATCCTCGATTATCATATTGTGCAATATAATACATGTAGTCATTATATCATGTAGCACTTCCTTTCTCCAAAAACATGACCGTCCTACAATAATTGCAAAATGTGATTGCAAAACTCCGAATGTATGTTCAACATCTTTTCAACACGGTTCTTGTTTCATCGTGAAATATTTCTTCTTTTGAGAATATTTTATGACCGCGTGTTGCGTGATTGAGTTACCTAGTTAATAATAAAATCAGATTATATTAAAATGACAATTTTTTTTTGAAAAATTGAAATATTATTAATTCGGAATGAAAGTATTATATATATTAAATAATATATATATTTTAAAATATTATATTACATTTAAAAAGAATTAAGAGTATTAGAGATTTAATTCATGACCTTATATAAAAAATAATATGTTGATTACAAAACAATAAAAATAATAATAAAATAATGAAAAAGTGAAATAAAGAGTGTGAAATGAAGGGTTTACTCTCCAAGTAATAGAGAATGGAGAGTAAAATAGAGTAGGGTTGGAGATGTTCTTAAAACTAGTTGCAACAAATAGACGTACCTAACAGTCAACTCTTTGACATAACGAAAATATTTTCAAAAGGATAATGCTAAATGGCTAGAAAATTTGGCCAGAATTCGTTTAGAAACTTAAAAAGTGTATGATATTTTTTTAATTTTAAAATAAACTAATTTTTTTTTATTTTTTAATTAAAATGTATTAAAGTTAAAAAGATAAAAATGTTCAAAAATATAAAATAACATAAGTAAAATATCATTCTGAGCAAAAAGATTTTTCCTTTCCAAAATATTTAATCTAGAACAGAGTAATTAATTGATAGGACGACGACAGGTAGAGCTTTGATAAACCATGACAATGAAAGTGCATGGAGAGTACAATCAATAGTCATCATTTTGTGTGGAATTGAATGCACAAATAAAGACCAGCAGGAAGCTTCTTCCAACTTGTTCATAGATTACACTACTAGTGATGGATGCCTTTTTGGATTTAATCCCAATTCATCCAGACTAATCATCACTTCATAATTAGAACAAGGAAAAAATGTCCGTCTTCAGTGGACTCACACGGAAAACACTTTTTTCCTCTGTCTCTGCAGAAAGGCGGAAGAAAGAGCATGATTGTTATTTAAAGAATGGAAGTGCGGTACTTGAGGAGCTTCTTGCTTTATGCGACGGAAATTGCAGAATTCCCATCCGTTACTTCTCTGCAATAGAGATCCACAATGCAATAAAATACTCTAAATGCAGAATAAACCTTTCCGATGTGTATATTACTGGCTCGCTGGACAACCATCTCGTTTTAGTTAGGTTCAATAGATGTCGATTAAACAATATCCACCGAGATATAGCAGTTACTGCTCAGATGAGTCATCTCAAGAATGTGCTGAGACTTGTCGGTTGCTGTCTAGAATTTGAACAACTGGTGTACGAATATGTCGAAGGTATTTCTGTTAGTTATCTACTTTTCAGAAAAGGTAATCATGATGATGATCAAACTAGAAAATTGTTATTATCTTGAGGATGGAAATAGATTACGAATTGCCAATGAGGTCGCTTCTGCAATCGTCTTTCTCCATACCGAATTTACAACGCCCATCATCTTCAAAGATCTGAACCCATCTAATGTGATAATAGATCAGAATAGCGGTGTTGGCAAAATATTGGACTTCTCATTATCCATATCTTTGCCTCCAGGAAAATTGGAAGTAGTAAAAGATATTACCTCCAGAAATGGATGTTTAGCTCCAGAATATGCGATCTCGGGTATTGTTACTCAAAAAGCAGATGTCTATAGCTTCGGAGTTGTTCTACTTCAGCTACTTACTGGAGAGAAAATGAGTACTCTAAATATAGAGGATCCTGAGTATATATAATGTATCATGCAGATTCAGATTTTAAGATGGTAGGCATCGAAGAGATCCATGTAATGGACATAGCAGATTCAGCCACTTTAGAAGAGCATAGAATTGAGATTCGACAACAATTGTTGGGTTCTTGTTAAGAAATGCACAAAGTCAAAGAGAGAAGAGAGACATTACATGATTGAAATTACAAAGGAATTACGCCGAATTCACAACTGCTTCTGTGCCCTCACTCTTGGCTAGAATTAGTTACATAAGAAATAATTAAGCTCGGCTTTACTTTTTTTTTATGCATTCTGTGTTTGGGATATTTGAATTCACACAAAGTTAAAATCAATTTATTTTTTAATGGGTCTTCTAATTGGGTTTGGGTCATGTGCACTAGAATAGGTGGGTAGGAGAAAAATAAAGTATAACTTACATAAATCCCATAGTGTAAAGAGTAAATTACATCTTATCCCTACTTTTTTTCTAATTACAGTAATCCCTTAAAATTTGTACCTTCCGGATACATAAGTCACCATCCAGATACACTAATTCACCATCCGGATACATTAATTCTAATACAAGAAAAATCTTTCTGTTGCACTAAAAAGGGAATAAAATCTGAAAATTAATTAAATCCCATAAATTACGCTTATGTTTCTTCTTACTCTCAATCATACAGAGGCAAATCCTAATAGAACGAAGAAATTCAAAATTTCAAATTGCTCCCCCCGTTCAACGAAGAAACCTTTCAGATTTGATTCAAAAACTTTTGTCGAAATTTTGGGTAAGCGAGGTGAGTTATGAAGGATACAAAAGTGATGAAATTGTTGTTGGACAAACAATATCCTTTTGAATCTTCAAGTAAATCGAAGATCCTTTCAATTGTGATTCAAGATTATCAAAAAATTTGAGATTCAAGATTCTTTCTTCTCCAAGTTCAGCGAAGATCCTTTCTATTTTGATTCAAATTTATTGAAAATTTTGAGATTCAAAATTTTTCTCTTAGTTTATTGAAGATCCTTTCAATTTTGAATCAAAATTGTCGAAAAAATTGAGAAGATACATCATGAATATCTTTGCTACTTAGATTTTACTATTTATGTATCTTGTTTAAATTGATAATTATTGTATTTATATTAGATACATTAAATAAATAATTATTGTCCATAAGATGTTAGATTTGAGATCGATACATTTCTGTGTGGTAGTTGCTATGTAATTGATACATTTAGTATAAATTCGAATTTACGTATCATATCTAAAAAATTAGTGCATGATACATTACTATTTATGTATATCGTTTAAATTGATAAGTATTGTGTTTATACTAGATACATTAAATAAGTAATTGTTGTCCATAAGATGTTAGATTTGAGATCGATACATTACCGTGTGGCAGTTGCTATGTAATTGATACAGTTAGTATAAATTCGAATTTATGTATCATAGCTAAAAAATTAGTGCATGACACATTACTATTTATGTATCTCATTTAAATTGACAAGTATTTTATTGTTTGCCTGGAAAAATATTTATAACTTATATAATGTATCATTTTATAGTTGATATAATGTATCTGATACAATAAGGTTTTGAAAGAAGGATATGTGTACGCTGAAATAAAGTGTATCTATAAATGTATCACAATAAATAAGAATTAAGTCATCAATTAGATACATGAACAAACACAATCCATTAAAGAAATTTGATTATTGAAAACACCAGAAAAAAGAGGAAAATATTAGATTGTATGAAATTTTGGTGAAATTGAAACTAATATTATTATGAGAAAATTAAAAGATTAAATAATAATACAAGAATCCTAATTAGTTTCAATGAATGATTAGTTGTTAGAGTCCATAACCAATTCAAATTATGAAAAATTTACAAATATTATATTCTCTTTTTTAATCAAACACCCGAGGTGAGTTTTATTAACCAAAAATAAAGAAATCAAATACAAATACCAAACCCAACAGTGATTTGGAAACAATAGAAAAACAAAACAACTACTAAACCAAAAAAAGAAAAAGAAGGAAAAAGACAAAATAAAAGAAAAGATGACAAAAAAGGCAAAAACTTGTACAAATATTATATTAATTATTAACAAATAATAACAACTACTACTACTTTTTTTTTCCCTAATTTACGTAGGTGTAAAAAAATTGAAGTTCACATAGTTTATTTTATTATAAATTTGGAGTATTTTAAAAAATAGGTAAAAGACTCATAAATATTTTTTAAAATTTTTTTTGTCTAAAAATATCCTTAACCTACGGAAAAGAGACTGATTTTGAATTTCAAACGTGAATGAGAAAATAACTACCAAGATTCTGTGACTAAAAATAAGGAGAGATTTGTGAAGTGAAATAATGAAGGGATAAATGTTGGTTTTGGGAGTTAGAATTTATGTATCCAACTTTTGGGGGTTTGGAAGTAAAATAAGAGATTCTGGAAAATTTTAGAACTGGTAGGGAATAATGGAAATTATGAAAAAAAAAGATGTGTATATAGGTAATTTATCCAAAAATAAATGGGTTAATATTTAATTTATCCAATAAAAAAATGACATGTAATAATAATAATTTTTTAAAAAGTGGCTGTTAGTTTTAAGGGTAGAAATGAACTAAAAAAGGTGGATTGAGGGATATTTTTAGTCCAATAGATGAATGAAGGGTATTTTTAGACCTTTTCAAATAGTCCAAGGGTATTTTTAGCCCTTTTCCGTTTATTTTTTCATTGAATTAAAGTTTGATCAATAATATTGTTTTTTTAAGAATATCTTTGTGATAGTATATTATGTGATTTTATAAATTTGTGCTTATTTGGTAAGATTCTATATAGAATTGGGACAATTTTAATATTTTTACAGCTTATGAAATTTTTATATTTATGAGAAAACATACCATATAAGAAGTTCAAATTATGTTGAAACAAAATTTCAACCTCATCTTATGATTTCATATAATAATTTCATATCACCAAACATGCCTTTAGAACCACAGAAACTCTTTAACATAAACCAAAATATTTAATCTAGAACAGAGTAATTTATTGATCGGACAGCGACATTAGGTAGAACTTATCAAACAATGGCAATGAAAGTGCATGGAAATTCAGAAGAGAGTCCAATCAATCGCCATCATTTTGTGTGGAATTCAATGCACAAATTACGACCAGCAGGAAGCTTCTAACCTCTTCATAGATTACACTAGTAGTGATGATGTGAATTGTGATGCCTAATTGGATTTAATCCCAATTCATGGAGACTAGTCAGTCACTTCTAAATTAGAGATGCCTTTCTTCAGGGGACTAACAAAGAAAAAACTTTTTCCCTCTGCCTCTGCTGAAAAGCGGAAGAAAGAGTATGATTGTTATTTACAGAATGGAAGTTGCGTGCTTGAGGAGTTTCTTGCTTTATGCGACGGAAATTGCAGAATTCCCATCCGTTACTTTACTGCCATAGAGATCGACAGGGCAATAAAACACACTAAAAGCAAAATGGAGCTTTCCAATGTGTATATGGTTACGGGCTCGCTAGACAACCGCCTCGTTTTAGTTAGGTTCAACAATTGTGAGTTCAACAATATCCACCGAGATATAGCGATTACTGCTCAAATGAGTCATCTCAAGAATGTGTTAAGACTTGTCGGTTGCTGTCTAGAATTTGAAGAGCCAGTTATGGTGTATGAATATGTTGAAGGTATATCTCTCAGCGATCTACTTTTCAAAAAGGGTAATATTAATAAAAAATCATCACTATCTTGGGGAAATCGATTACGGATTTCCAATAAGGTTGCTTCTGCAATCGTTTTTTTGCATACCGAATTTACTACGCCCATTATCCACAGAGATTTGAAGGCTCAGAATGTGATAATAGATGAGAAGAGCGGCGTTGCCAAAATAGTAGACTTCTCATTGTCCATATCACTGCCTCCGGGAGAATTGGAGGTACAAGATCGAGTGTGTGGAACAATCTGGTATATAGCTCCAGAACATATCCACCAGGGTATTATTACTCAAAAAACTGATGTCTACAACTTTGGGATTCTTCTCTTTCAGCTATTAACCGGAAAGGAAGTGTGCGGTAGTGTGGGATCCGATGATGATGTTATGGATAGAGCGGATTCTAAAAATTCAAAAGAGACAACAGATTTCGAAGAAGATAACTCTATGCATAGGATGGATTCTGCAATTCCAGAAGAAATAATAGATATTGATAATCTTCCACCCAACCTCGTCGATCACTATATTAAAGAGTGTAATATAATGGATATAGCGGATCCTACCATTTTCAAAGAGCATGGAATTGAGATTCAACAACAATTGAAAGACTGCTTGAATCTTTCTAGGAAATGCACAGCTGACAAGGGAGAAGATAGACCATACATGATTCATGTCGCAAGGGAATTGTGTCGTATTGAGAAGGGTTTCCCTCTTGATCAAAATTAAATGTTCATTTTAATTCTTTAAAGTATTCGTATGAGGTTCCAATTTCAAGGGAATTCAGTTTGTTTGTACCCTCGTATTTATGTTGAACAAAAAAAGAGATTTGCAGACAACGAAATTGCCAATTTGATCTTTATTTTGCTCTATTTGGATTGATTACTCCTTAATTTTTTCAGTTTACAGAAAAATCATGTTAGTATTTGTCATCTAACAAATTTTAGTCATTGAATTTAGACTATGGATGCCACTACTTGTAATTTATTCTTCGTCTTTACCATTTTCCATTTTAGCCAGCGTGAGTCATTTCAGTGCTTAATTAAGAAGCCATGTATACAAATGATAAAGGTTCCTGTCTCGCACATTAAAACAATTGATCCTGTTTGAGATTACTGTATTAAAGAGGGTAATGCAATGGATATAGCGGATCCTATCTTTTTGAAAGAACATGGAATTGAGATTCGACAACAATTGGAAGACTACTTGGATCTTGTTAAGAGATGCACAACATCAAAGGAAGAAGATATAGACTATACATGATTCACGTTGCAATGGAATTACGCTGAATTGATAAGTGTTTCCGTGCCTTCACCATTGGTCATGACTCATGAGAATTAGATGTTTATTTTACACGACGATAGAAAGAAAGAAAAGAAAGAGCACTACTTCGTCTAAAACAGTTCTAGTATGGCCATTTTATATTGGACAATGACAGATATCCGCAGACAAATGAAATTGCCAATCCAATTTTTATGACTTGGTAGTTGGGAAAGGTCACTAATGCAGCAGCTGGGAATACCAAAACCTCTCCACACATTCAGGAAGCAGAACAGGGTGGCGGACATACTGGCTAAGATGGGCAAGACAATGCAAGCCAACAGCGGGAGGATGCAGATTTTGGAAGCCCCGCCACATTAAGCCCTCAAAGCATGGGAAGCTGACAAGAATGGGGTTTATTTTGATAGAATGGTAGTAGTAACTAGTCCCAATCAGACTACGGGGAGCATCCCTATTTCAAATTCTGTAATGAACAATGAAGTCCGTAGGCTTCTCATTTAAGCTTTATATATAAATATCTAATTCTACCAAAAAAAGAAGCATCACTAAATGCTACTAGTATTTTCTTTGTGCCTCTGTTATATAGTTGGGTCATGGAACATAGGGATTTTGACAGGAAAGTTCATTGTGTTAGTGAAGATTCTAAAGAAAAGAAAGATCAACATAGCTTGTGTGCAGAAGATCAAATGAGTGGGTATTAAGGCTAGAGATGTAGATCAATTTAAATTGTGGTACTCAAGAGGCTCGAGGACCCTAGAACCAACTACTCGACTTAAGGAACCAGGTTCCTTATACAGAGGTGGACCCACTCCTCTAGGTGGGGGTGCATGTGCATCTATCTTGAGAAACTGACAGAAAATAGGAATTATTTGACAGTGCACCCATGAAAAACATAGGAGTGTCATTATGTGAGAAACTGACAGAAAGTAGGATATATTTGACAGTGCATCCATGAAAAACATAGGAGTGTCATTGTGTTAATTTTATTGTTTTTATTTTAAATTTATTTTAGAGCTTATATTTGAGCTAAGGTAATATTGGTGCACCCAAAGTCTTCAAATCATGGGTTCGCCCTCTTAAAACTAAAGCAAACAAAAAGGTAAATAAACACAAGATTTATCGTGAAAAACCTCCTAGCTCAAGGGAGTAAAATCACGACCTACGGGAGGTAGATTTCAACAACCTCACTAACTTCAACAAGCGATTTCAGATTATAACTCTATAATTTAAGGGACTAACTCTAGTATATCAATTCGACAGGTGACTCTAACCATTTGCTAACAACTCTCTGAAAAGATAAATTCTTATCTTGTTACTAGTCCCATTGCGTACACCTTAACCACCTCCAAGATAACAAGTTGGAGCTAAAGTTTCAATTTTGGTACTAAATGCTAAACTTCGGAGGAAGTGAAATGAGTAGAGACCAAAAACAGAGTGTTCATAGAGAAGAAGGGGAAGGGAGCAAGAAGGACTAGTGAGGAGGGAATAATTATCCGGCATGAGCAGTGGCGGATCCAGAATTTTTTCATATAGGGTTCGAAAAATTAAAGTATAAATGTATAAATAAGCCAATAAAACATAATTCCAAGGAAGCATTAGTATATAGTTTATAGGTACAAAAAGTTAGTTCCGTTACCGAAAACCTTTTAGCAAGTTTGTATTTTTTTGGATTTAAATATGTTTTTTATAAAAAAAAAAAAAAAAAAACTGAAAAAGGTGAAAAATTGGTCTTGAAACTAAAGGAAGAGAAGCTAAAAAATAAAATTTTTGCTCGAACCCTGGACACTAGGGTCAACTTATAACGAGATCTACCACTATGCTATAACTTACTTCATGTTTATGAAGGGGGTTCAAAATTAATATATCTACGTATATAACAGAAAATTAATCGTAACTTTTTACCGACATGGGTCAGCCCCTAAGCATGAGCCATTTCACTGTTTAAGTAACCAGCTCAAATACGTCGAACACAAGATAAAACATCTTTACTAAATGTTCCTTAAAATTTAAAAGTTTACGTGGTTACAAATCATTTTATTAAGAGTAAAAAATAATATTTTAATATTTAATTTTTTTAATTATAAACTCTTTTCAAAAGACCAGTGACCTATCACAATTTGTTGTCATTTTGTGTGGAATTCAAGATCATGAGGAATCTTTCCTGTACAGTGTACACTCCACTAGTGATGATGCCTTACTGAATTGAGCCCACTGCAGTAAGACTAGTGGACATGAAAGAAAGAGGTATTGTGAAGGGAAAAAATGCAGTTCTTCAGGGGACTCACAAGGAAGAAACAATCATCATCCTCTGCCTCTGCAGAAAGGCGGAAGAATGAACAGGATTATTATTTAAAAAATGGAAGTTCCGTGCTTGAGGAGCTTCTTGCTTTATGCGACGGAAATTGCAGAATTCCGATTCGTTACTTCAGTGCCATAGAGATTGAGAGGGCAATAAAGCACTCTGAAAGCAAAATGGAGCTTTCCGATGTGTACATGGTTACGGGCTCGCTGGACAACCGCCCCGTTTTAGTTAGGTTCAATAGATGTCAACTCAACAATATGCACCGAGATATGGCGATTACAGCTCAGATGAATCATCTCAAGAATGTGCTGAGACTTGTTGGTTGCTGTCTAGAATTTGAAGAACCAGCTATGGTGTATGAATATGTTGAAGGTATATCTCTTAGCGATCTACTTTACAAAAAGGGTAATATTAATAGAAAATCGTCATTATCTTGGGGAAATCGATTACGGATTGCCAATGAGGTTGCTTCTGCAATCGTTTTTCTACATACCGAATTTACTACGCCCATTATCCACAGAGATATAGCGTCATCTAAAGTGATAATAGATCAGAATAGCGGCGTGGCCAAAATTTTGGACTTCTCACTCTCCATATCTTTGCCTCCAGGAAAATTGGAAATGAAATCAGAAGATGGTGTGCTCGGAACAATCGGGTATATAGCTCCTGAAAATGGCTTCTATGATATTATTACTCAAAAAATTGACGTCTACAGCTTCGGGGTTCTTCTCTTTGAGCTATTAACTGGAAAAAAAATGGTTGAAATGGTGGATTCTGCAATTTCAAAAGAGCCAATAGATTGTGAAGAAGTCAACAAATCCAATATTGAAGAGCGTAATGCTATGGATACAACTTTTGAAAATCTTCATCCCAACATTGTTGATCGCTATATTAGAGAGAACAGTGTAATAGATATAGTGGATCCTACCATTTTCGAAGAGCATGGAATCGAAATTCAACAACAATTGGAAGACTACATAGATCTTGTTAAGAGATGCACAACTTACAACGGAGAAAACAGACCATACATGATTCACGTTGCAAGGGAATTACGCCGAATTGAGAAATGCTTCCGTGCCCTCACTATTGGTTAAAATTAAATGTTTGTTTTAATACATGAGGTGAAAAAAGAAGTTTGCTTCTACTGTCATATTTATGTTGAACAATAAATGAGATCTGCAGACAATGAAGTTGCCAATCTAGTACTTACTTTTGTGCTCTATTTGGGATGCATCTAACTTGATCTTTTTGTTACAGACTAAAAAAATGAGACACCATGTTAGTTTTGTATTTGACATCTAATAACTTTCATTCGTTTCAGACTATGCAACTGCATATATTTACCGTTTTCCTTGTTGACCAGGCATTGTGTGGTGTGTCACTACCTTCCACCTATCTTACACATTCAATAAAAGTTGTCACTGTGAAGCTATGGTTAAGGTGCACGGTGGATTGTCACTTTTCAGCTCATGCTAAAGGTCCTCTCTACTAGGAAAGCAGAGAATTTCTCTAATTTTAACATATTGATAGGTTTTGTTTAGTCAGGCTGGAGAATCTTACATGAGCTAGGCTAGTGTTTTTAGTAGTTATAATTTGTTAATGTGTAATTACTACTTGGAAACCGTAATTTTAATCCCTGCAGTGACTACTACTGGGAAGGCACATAATCAAATAGCATCCCTTGGGAATTACAAAATTTAACACTGAATAAAAACAAAAGCAGTGTGAATTTCTATTAATTCCTACGAGAATTTACTTCGTGATCACAATTCACAAGCATAAACCTCAAGACAGTTCATAGCGATACGATTTATCATAGTGTCCACACAAATAAGACTAACCAAGGTAGGAAAAGCAAAAGTATAGAATTGAAGTTACAATATGTGCCTGTTGCATAGCACAATCTTTAGCATCTCTATGAGGCACCCTTGACACCGCTGATAGAAGGATTAGTGACTTGTCTATAACACCAGTTTACAATTGCTGCAAACTGTACGCAGGTTTTTGAAACAAAATTTATGCCATAAAGAAAGGAGACGAGACAAACCATTTTTTGTCTCTGGAATATTAGAGTAAGCTTTTGGGACAATTTCCTTGTTTTAGCTGGAGACAAGACAAGACAAGCCAATTCTCGAATGATCTAACCTACTAGTAGCATGTTCATCCAGCGCTCTAAAAAGGGGAAGTTATGCTTGCTTATTATAGGTCCTCGAAACTTGCTTTCATTAAGAAGCAAAAAGAGGAAACTCCACATGGCACAACAATTTGTAAACCATCTTAAGAAACTTGTAACACTTTTAATTAGATTGAGGGCTTGAATGGACATAAAACACCTATGGTATCTTAGAGAACAGCTATACAGTGGCAGCACTGGAAAGTGCATTGTGATAAGTTAGCAAAATATCAATTGTCAATTAAATAGTATTTGAGTACAATTTAATAACCTAAACTAACTTAAGTTGGTCAATTTCAGCATTTGGAACCCAAGAAAGAAAAGCATGAAGAATTTGAAGAATGATGAAAAAATGGGAAGTTGGAGCAAAAGATTAAGAAAAGAGAAGACACAAAAATCATGCCCATGTAAAGCCAGTAGAAGAACTTGAATTCGGATAAGTCTGAGAATGAGAAGATCTGATTCAGTCCACGAAAATAAATGACTAGACGAAATTGCTCCACAAAATTGAGAAGTCTGGAATTAGCAGAAAAACAGGAGACGAAACGAAACGTTGCCACAATTTAGCTCCAGGAAAATCACCTGAAGCTTGAAGAAACAAAACCTAAAGAAAAGCAAGAGAAACGTGGAGACAAAAATATTTCGACTCCACGAAAGTGTGAGCAAAGGGGCATTTTTGTCCCAATGTACTATAAATAGGAATTAGCTAATCATCTTGGGAAGTTTTCAATCTTCTAAAAGTATTGAGGAGCATTCATAGCTAATATTTGAAGGATTAGGAGGCTATTCACTATAGAGTTTGTGTTAACCAACTAAAGTACTTAATCGCCTGAGTTAAATTAAAACTGTTTGCAACAAACTCACACACCTAACTACAATTAACTGAGTCAACTCCTTAAGATAAACCAAAATATTTAATCTAGAACAGAGTAATTAATTGATAGGGTGACGACATTAGGTAGAACTTGACAAACAATGGCGATGAAAGTGCTTGGAAATTCAGAAGAGTCCAATCAATCGCCATCATTTTGTGTGGAATTCAATGCACAAACTAAGACCAGCAGGAAGTTTCTTCCAACTTGTTCATAGATTACACTAGTGATGATGGTATGCCTTATTAGATTTAATCCCAATGCACATAAACTAGTGGACACCAAAGAATAGAGACTTCAAAATCAGCACAAGGTATTGCAAGAAAAAATGCACTTCTTCAGGGTACTAACAAGGAAAAAACCTTTTTCCTTTGCCGCAGCAGAAAGGCGGAAGAAAGAGGAGGATTGTTATTTAAAGAATGGAGGTGCAGTGCTAGAGGAGCTTCTTGCTTTATGCGATGGAAATTGCAGAATTCCCATCCGTTATTTCACTGCCACTGAGATCGAGAGGGCAATAAAACACTCTAAAAGGAAAATGGAGCTCTCCCATGTGTCTATGGTTACAGGCTCACTGGACAACCGCCCCGTTTTAGTTAGGTTCAGTAGATGTCAATTCACCAATATCCACCGAGATATAGCAATTACTGCACAGATGAGTCATCTCAAGAATGTGCTGAGACTTGTTGGTTGCTGTCTAGAATTTGAACAACCAGTTATGGTGTATGAATATGTTGAGGCTATAACTCTCAGCGATCTACTTTTCAGAGAGTGTGATCATAAGACTAAAAGATCATTATCTTGGGGAAAGAGATTACGAATTGCCAATGAGGTCGCTTCTACAGTTGTTTTTCTCCATACAGAATTTACTACACCCATCATCCACAGAGATATAAAGCCTCACAAAGTGATGATAGATCAGAACAGCGGCGTTGCCAAAATAATAGACTTTTCATTGTCTATATCATTACCTCCAGGGGAATTGGAGGTACAAGATGCTGTACTGTGCGGAACATTTTGGTATTTAGATCCAGAATATGCCTCCCTGGGTATTGTTACTCAAAAAACTGATGTCTACAGCTTCGGAGTTCTTCTCTTTCAGTTATTAACCGGAAAGGAATCTCTTGATAGTATGCAATCGAATATTGAAGAAGGTAATGTTATGGATAGAGTGCATTCTAGAATTTATGAAGAAACAACAAATTTTAAAGATCCAAATCCACCAACCATGGTTGAGCTCTACATTAAAGAGTGTAATGCAATAGATATAGCAGACCCTACCTTTTTGGAACAGCACGGTATTGAGATTCGACAACAATTGGAAGACTACTTGGATCTTGTAAAGAAATGCACAACGTACAAAGGAGAAAACAGACCATATATGATTCATGTTGCTAAGGAATTATGCCGAATTGAGAACTGCTACCGTGCCCTCACTATTGATCAAAATTAAATATTTGTTTTAATACATGAGGTGTAAAAAGAAGTTTGTTTATACAGTCATATTTATGTTGAACAATAGTCAATAGATGAGATCTGCAGACAATGAAATTGCCCATTTAGTTTTTAGGACCTGGGAAAAAGTTGCTACTAAATGCTAGAACCGATTTTTGTGCTCTATTTGGACTGAATCTAAGTGTATTGTGTTTCAATTATCACACATTTTGCTGCTGATATTATTTCTTTCTTGTAGGCTCTACACTACTTTTCGTATAACTGTTACACTTTCTTCATTGTTTTCTTCTTTTTTACTTGAGTTTGATGCACTTAAGCTGAGGGTCTTTCACAAACAGCCTCTCTACTTCAGTTCCACGAGGTAGCAATAAGGCCTGCATACACTCTACTCTCTCCAGCCTGGGTATGTTGTTGTTGTTGTTGGATTGAATCTAATTGATCTTTGTGTTTGAATACTAAAATAAAGTGAGACCATGTTAGTTTTGTAACTTACATCCAATCACCTTTTAGTAGTTTCAGACTATGCCACTGCTTATATTTACACTTGATTTTTACCTTTTTCCTTGTTAATCAGGCATAAGACATTTCAGTGCTTACGAAACCAAGTATCCAAATTCTTCAAACACAAGATACAGGTTGTTTTTTGAGGAAGGTAAAATCAACCACAGGATACATGTTCCTTGTTCGACCCATTAAAACAAAATGTAAGATGGGATTGTAACTTTTCAGCTCATGCTAAAGGTCCTCTCTACTAGGAAAACTGACAGTTTCTCTGATTTTAACATATTGATAGGTCTTGTATAGTAAAGCTGGAGAATTTATCATGAGCTAGGCCAGGTTCACATAGCTTTTTTTTTGCAAAGAGGCTCACGTAGTTATAATTGAGAGTTTACAATGACTACTCGGAAGCCACAACTCTAATCCCAGCGTTTATGCAGCTACTATATAGATGGTGATTACTACTGGGAAAGCACATAATTAAACAGCATCTTTTAGGCATCACAAAATTTAACACAAAAGCAGTGTGAATTTCTCTTGATTCCTAGGAGAAACTACTTTGTTATCACAAGCATACAATATCAGGTTAGTTCAAGAGAAGGGAGATTAGTGACTTGTCTATAACACCAGTTTGCTGATGCTGCAAACCCTCCAAAGGTTTTTGAATCAAAATTGACTCTATAGAGAAAGGAGAAGGGGCTTTAACAATAGATATATGTAGATGATAAACTTTTTGCGAATCCACTGAAACGAGCTAAGGAAATTGCCTTCTTCCACTGGAAACAAACCATTTCAGTCTCTGGAATAATTAGAGTAAGCTTTAGGGATAATTTCCTTGTTTTAGCTGGAGACAAGACAAGCCATGGAGCCAATTCTCAAATGATCTAAATTACTAATAGCCTATTCATCCAGATAAGCATTAGGTATAAAAAGAGGAAGTTATGCTTATTGCAGGTCCACGAAACTTGCTTTCACTAAGAAGCAAAAGAGGAAACTTCACATGGCATAAGGTGAAAGGCGAAAAAACTTAAGAGAGTTAACACCAGGAACTAGCACAACATATTGAACCACAACAATTTAGAATCTTAGATTGACTTGTGTGTGACTACCAAGTATATCAGTGGAAGACGAGGCACAAGATTTTCAACTTAGATCCTGGGATACGCGATAAAAATCACCTTTAAAGGATCAACCAATCCACGACGTGCGTCATGTATGCTCATCATTATTAGGCAAACTTTGCAAGCTCATATCTAAGGCGATAAAATTTCATGTCATACAAATTCCTGAATCAAAATCTTCATGATTTAATTGGCTCCAAGAATAAAATAATCTCTTTTGAGGAACCGTTCCCAAGTTCCTGCAGGGCTAAGTTGTAACTTTGAGGGTCTTCATTTCAAAACCACATTCTTTCTTGGGACAATTTAAGGAAGGTGAAGGAGGTGGGTGAATGTATCTCCTTGCATAAAACCAGATATTAATCGAACACTTGAACCTTAATAACATAAAGATCTAGCAAAGGCAGGCTCTTCAGTTCTCATAAAACTACAAGGTGTCAGTAGGTGGTAAACTGTAAACATATTTCAAAAATGATTTACCCATAGGCATAACAAAACTTTATTTAGATACACTTTTAGGGCAACTGATTCTTTTATCCAAATCATATAACAGCCACCATAACACAGCCTATGCCCCTTTCTTAAAAAAAAGTATGATACATACATAAGTACATAACACAGCCTATGTCGCAAAGCAAAGCCGGTCTCATGCCCGGATTAAAGAGAAACAATGCTAAGTTGACAGTCAGCATAAAAACAATCTAATTATAATGAATCAATGATGCAGCTTGATATTTAAGCGGAGAAGGGTAGAGCGGCACGCCCCTTATCCCGAATTTCCAAGGGTAGGATTGGTCCTAAAGTTGGTCCAGACAGATTTCTCGGTCATCAAACAAAAAGCAAACTAATTATAATAAAATTGTGATAATCCTCCAGATCATACAGTCAACCCAACTATTATCGAATTCGATGTCAATTAATACTGAAAAGGCAAAAGCAACACACAAGACAACTTTAAAGGTGCTGAATTTTTCGCCAAGTCATACAACAAACACCATATTTATTATGCAATAATCTTTTGTCAGCAAGCATAAAGTACAAAACTTTAAAAAGAACTGAGCCAATTACCACTTGGAAAACTAAGCTTCTCGTGCAGAAATCATTCCAGCCTTTCTTGCATAAGCGAAAATGCCACCAGCTTCAATGACAGGACCAGCATCACCAATAGGCTTCAATTTATACTCTTTCCCAGATGTATGATTAATCAATCTACTCTCCCCAATTTCAACAGTCAGCACATCACCAGTCTTACACTCCTCACAAATCCTCTTTTCCGATTCAAGCGGATAAACTTCACCAGTCGAAACTGAATTCCTGAAAAAGATCCTCGCATACGACTCCGCCACCACTGCCAATACACCAGCTGCACCTAAAGCAACCGGTGCGTGCTCACGAGATGACCCGCACCCAAAGTTGTCGCCACCTACGACGATGGAGTACTTTGACGTGAATTCACCCGGTTCGATGAAACGGGTTTGGTACGATGAGGGAAGTCCACATAGAGCGTACGACCCGAGTTTCTTGTACTCATCTGGATTTGAAGGTACAAGGGTTAGGTATTCTGCTGGAATGATTTGGTCAGTGTCGATATTGTCTCCGAGGACGTAGCAGAGGCCGTGAAATGTGGTGGCGGTCTTGGTGGTTTCCGGTGTAGTAGAGGCGGCGGCGGAACGGAGAGGTGCGACAGTGGAGTTTTTCGGAGCTGAGACGGAATGGGAGATTAATGGATTATTGGAGGAGATTGATTGGAATTTGACTGAGGGGAGAGGGTTAATAGAGGAGGCGCGTGGTTGGAACGAACTGGATTTGAAGGTGGTGATGGAACTGGAAAGAGCTGTTAAAGCCGCCATTGATGAAAGCTCGGAGTGGCGTTGAAATGGAGATTGCTAATTTTTCGTTGAAAGAGTGTACCAAAACGTGGGCAGACATCTTATTAGCTATATATTGGGCCTTAGACTTTTTTAGCTATTGGGCTTACAATAGATCAGATTAGCAAGAGAGCCGCCAATTTGATTGGACCAGTGCGACTATTTTTTCCAAATTCGTGGAATCCAAATACATTCCAAAACATTCTAATACATCCTGTTTCAATTTTGGATACATTCATCAACGTCTCGATATATTACGTTGCAGTTTTGAATACATCACTCAACAATTTGATACATTGTGTACGTCCCGATACATCGTGTAAATTGATGTATCTAATAGATACATTACGTAAAGTAATGTATACGAGAATAGGTACTTCTGATATGGTAGGAAATTTTAAAACATATGATAAAATAAAGTTGTGTATTTAGGTAATTTGTCATATTTAATGTCTGGGACGGTGCAAAAAAAGTAAGAGAATTTCATAAATAGCAAAAAGAAAAATACATAATAAGATTTTATAGCTATAATTTTCGTAATTACAGTCCATAATTATAGTCTCATTTGCTATGGAGACTTTCATTTGTATATTTTGGTTCTTTTTTAAAAAAAAAAAAATTATACAAAATATGTTTTTAAGTAACAGACATAAAGAGCGGTAATTCGATTACGAAAAAAGAATTAATTTTTACAATTCACCCAATTTGTATTTGAATATAATTTTTTTCCTTTAGACTCCTTCAACAAGAAGAATACCTTACTATCTAGGTTAGTGAAATCAAGAAGCTTCAGTAATATAAACATTTTCGAGCAATTTGATTTTCGATTAATCAACATCATGAATTGTATTTTGTTTGTTGAATTCGTTGTTTTAAATGCCAAAGTAAGATGAAGTGAATTTTTATGTCAGTTGATTTTTTTCTTGAATTCGTGTTTTGAATTTCGTAAGTGTGTTATGATATTCAAAAATTGTTTGGATTGTATATTGTGATAATAGTATGAAACTTTCAATTGATTAGTACGTACATTTATATACAATTTCATTTGGAATCGAATAACAAAATTTTATTCTATTTGAATTTGTTGTTGGTTGTAGATTTGCTATATAATATATAAACGTACACATAATTTGATTTTTACCTTTTTGGAATTGTTGAATTCCAAAGAGTGATTTATATGTCTTTTGATAAAACTGGTTTGTAATTGTGTGTATATTTCTATTATATAGAAGAGTGAAGTGATAGGACGACCAAAGGTAAAAATGTAATTTCATTCTAACAAAAATCTATTAAGAAAGATAGTAAAGAATTCTAGAAACATCTTTTTATATATTAAGTGAATTATGATCAAGGATAAAAATGTAATTTCACGCTAACAAAAATCTACCAATATCAAGAAAATTAAATAGTTCTAGAAACATCTTTTGTTATTGTTATTACCATTAACTTATTTTGTTATTACTTCACTTTCTTTTCTTTTGTGAGTTATTGTAATATCTATTTATTACTCTATTTTACTATTACGTTAATTTAATGCTTAATATTTTTTTCTATTCATTATGCTTATCAAAAATGCCTACTTTAATATAAAAATTCATTATGAATTAATTATTTTCACCTTTATTTTGGCTCTAATTAATATACTTGAAAAGAAATAAGTGTGATAAAAATTAATAATATGTAGGACGATCAAGGGTAAAAATATAATTTCATTCTAACAAAAATCTATTAAGAAAGATAGTAAATAATTCTAGAAACATCTTTTTATATATTAAGTGAATTATGTTATGATCAAGGGTAAAAATGTAATTTTATGCTAACAAAAATCTACCAAGAATGATATCAAGAAAACTAAATAGTTCTAAATATTACACACTTCAGTATAAATCTCTTATTAGGAAGATTAATAACACAATTTTTTCAACATTAAGAACATCATTTTTCATCTATTCTCTAATGGCCCTACTTTTGTAAAACAATTATAAGACAAAAGTAAAATTCATTATTTCTTAGTGAACACACCACTTCTGGAACTTGTCCATATAACAAATTTTCAACAAAATTCAATTGATCCACATTTTTCAAACATTCTAATGAACCAATTAATATGTTAAATCCAATATCAATCACAATTGCAATTCTCAAAAGGCGTAATTCATAAGGAATGCAATCAGTGAGCAAGCTCTTCAAGAACAAAATTTTCAAAAATTTCGGAGCATGTTATGTCCTTTTTTTTCGTTCTCTTTAGACTTTTCAATTTCATGGTGTTGCTTTTCTTTCTGGATTGTAAAGATACTTTTTGAAGTATCTAATTTACTTGATTTCTCTTTTTATGTATAATCCAAAAATTTCACATAACATATATGTCATTATATAATTTATTGAGAAATATATATTATTTATTAAGTACTATTATTTTATCATCAGTTAAAATCATTTTTATCAAGTTATATAAATTATTATTTTAACTACCTTATGTTAAATTACTGCAATCTATAATTATATTAACTTTTGTTAATATTTTTAACATCTCATTATTTGAGGTATAACATTCATTCATCGGGTATATAAATTACTTTAGAAAAAAAATCTTTTGTTACTATACTAGATTGTTCTCCTAATTTTAATGAATATAAAGACAAGATATAAAGTCATAACTTTTTTTTATCCTTTATCACTTTGTAAATAATGAGATGATTCATTCTAATTTTCATCAAGTAGGTCATTATTTTTATTTGTTAAACACCTTTAAAACAAAATTATAAGTGTATTCAAAATTAATCTATAGGTGAATAGTAGAATTTACTGCTTCATATATTTTATGAAAATTGTTAATATATTGAGAATAATTTTAATCTATTCTCTTGAATAATTTTCAAATAAAATAGAAAAAGAATACCATTAAATTAATTATTTAATTCGAATATATATGTTTGACATGATGTTATAATGAGCACTGGAGCATCTGATAATTTATTATTGTTTGTATCATGTTTATTTGAAAATGTCATAATAATTTTTCTTTTTGAAAACTAATTAAATTTCTATTGTAAATATATATAATATTGTAATATTGGGCCCGTAAATGGGCCTTTCATTATATTGGGCCTGTATCACGGGCTTAAAATTATTTAATATATATATATATATTTATTATATTTATTTTTCAAGTACAGAAATGTCTTCTTTGATATTTAGATTATGCATTCTGACAAATGGAAAGATGGAAATTGTTACGTTAATTATACTATTAAGGAGATCGTCTTTAAGGAAAATGCAACATATAATGAGTTGTATAATGTAATTGCAATGTATAATGTAATTGCAAATCAACTTGATATCGATGTGACTAACAAAATACTAATAATAAAAATATAATAGAATAGAATATTGCAAACAAATATTTGTAACTTGGTCAAACAGCCCTGATTAAATTAAAATATTCCATCCATACCAATAGGGATTGAGGCAAGATTTTGTTTTGGGAGAGTATCATTTTTTGAATAAAAAATACTAATAAAATATTACTCTGAATAACATTTTGTACTTTAATTTACTATGTCACACGTTAACATTTGTTTCTTAGAATTTTCAAATAAAATATTACGTAAACCGTTACTATACATCATTTTTGTTTCAAAAGATTGTATTGGTGTTGTGATTGTATATAATGAATAATTATAAGTATAACTTACATAAATCACATAGTAGAAAGAGTAAATTACATTATATTCTTACTTTTTTTCTAATTACAATAATTCCTTAAAATTAGTAAGTTCCAGATACATAAGTCACCATCAGGATAGATTAATTCACCATCCGGATACATTAATTCTAATACAAGAAAAATATTTATGTTGCGCTAAAAAGGAAATAAAATCTAAAAATTAATTAAATCCTATAAATTACGCTTATGTTTCTTCTTACTCTCAATCATACAAAGGCAAATCCTAATAGAACGAAGAAATTCAAAATTTCAAATTGCTCCCCCGTTCAACGAAAAACCTTTCAGATTTGATTCAAAAACTTTTGTCGAATTTTTGGGTAAGCAAGGTGAGTTATGAAGGATACAAAAGTGATGGAATTGTTGTTGGACAAACGATATTCTTTTGAATCTTCAAGTTCATCGAAGATTCTTTCAATTTTGATTCAAGATTATCAAATATTTTGAGATTCAAGATTATTTCTTCTCCCAGTTCAGTGAAGATCCTTTCAATTTTGATTCAAAATTGTTGAAAATTTTGAGATTCAAAATTCTTCTCCTAGTTTATTGAAGATCCTTTCAATTTTGATTCAAAATTGTCAAAAATTTTGAGAAGATACATCATGAATATCTTTGCTACTTAGCATTTTACTATTTATGTATCTTGTTTAAATTGATAAGTATTGTATTTATACTATATACATTAAATAAATAATTGTTGCCCATAAGATGTTAGATTTGAGATCAATACATTACCATGTGATAGTTGCAACGTAATTGATATATTTAGTATAAATTCGAATTTATGTATCATATCTAAAAAATTAGTGCATGATACATTACTAATTTACTATTATGTATTTCGTTTAAATTGATAAGTATTGTATTGTTTGCCTTGAAAGATATGTATAACTTACATAATGTATCATTTTGTAGTTAATAATAATGTATCTGGTACAATAAGGTTGTGAAAGAAGGATGTATGTAAGCTGAAATAAAATGTATCTATAAATATATCACAATAAATAAGAATTAAGTTATTAATTAGATACATGAACAAACACAATCTATTAAAGAAATTTGACTATGAAAAACACCAAAAAAAAGAGGAAAATATTAGACTGTATGAAATTTTGGTGAAATTGAAACTAATATTATTATGAGACAATGGAAGATTAAATAATAATACAAGAATCCTAATCAGTTTCAATGAATGATTAATTGTTAGAGTCCATAACCAACTCAAACTATGGAAATTTACAAATATTATATTAATTATTACCAAATATTAATAATTACTACTATTACTTCTTCTTTTTTCTAATA